TGGGGGTTCATCTAACTAGAAGAGGGAATGGGAAAGCAGTTCTCATCAAAGCTTCAGATCACAGCGGTTTCAGTTGAATGGCGGATAGATAAATGAAGTTATGCTGGTGCTGTTCTGAGAATAAAGTAGCCGTTCTTAATGGCAACACTGCTGTCATGTCCATACCTCTGATCTGTTGGTTCACCTACAATCGTCACCGTTACAAACATCCTAATTTTGTTGTAAGGAGCCATCCAAAGGAATAGTAAAACTCAGTGGCTTAGTAGAGGTGGGCCTTTAATGAAACGTTGAACAAAAATTATGGTAAAATCTTGGGGAGATTGTTAAAGTGGCTGCTTAGAACATGGGCTGGAGATGATCCTTCATGCAGGGACAGTAGCTTTAAAACTGCCCTTCTTCCAAGGCAAAACACATTATTTTGTTCTGTAATCCTGTGGGGCGGGGGGAGGTTTATGAGTAAAATGCTCCTTAATAAAAATTTAATTGTAGCTCTAAATATGTCTTTGCCCAAACTTTTTTCTCTCTGGAATTTGCCATTCTTCTCACTTATGTATCACATGAGAGGCCAGTTGCCGGTGATTTCTGGGTGGTGAGATACAGCGTTCTGATCAATTAAGCTGCTTATTTGGCATTCAGAAATAGAATGGCATGAGAGAGAGTTTCATTTCATAAAGAGATGGGGAGCAGAAGGGAGAGGGATTATTTGGGGTTGGCTACGTTTTAATTAGATTCTTGTGATCTAAATTCCACAGCGAAGGTTCCAAAGCCTGGCTGTGCTCTTGGCAGTATTTCAGGAGGAAAGCGATAGCCATGTTCCCTTGGCAGCAAAGCATTACGATGAACTTCACAAAGTACTGCAGGTTTTTTAATGTTTTTGGAATAGGGTGTTGGGCCTAAACCAATCTTCCAAGTAAACTGGACTAGAATCATTTCCAGGATCTGTGCTGCCTTCTGACACAGGGGCCACTTGCAGCAGAAAGTCAGCCCAAGGGGTGTTGTGGCAGAACAAGGAGTCGGCAGTTGTCTCTTCATCGGGGCAGTGGACCAGAGTAGGTCAAGGGAGATGGAGAATCCCCTGACATTCCCTGAGCAGCCTGTTTTCATGGGGCCTCTGGTAGAGGTTGAGGCTGGCCCTTTCCCAAAGGAATGTCTGAGAGGGACAGAGAGTGGAAACCCCATATCCCCTCTGTCCTGGATACCCTCCCCACCTCTGGGTATAACAGTCCCCGTGTTCATGGGTACCAAGTATCCCTACTTTCTGTAAGTATCAATCTACCACATTGTCTATCTCCTGGGAGAAAATCAAGCACTGGGAATGGGCACAGTAACAAGATTTCTACTCCAAGTGCTTGCTCGTGTCGATTCCATTCTAGGTGCGCGCTCCCATGTTCGCGGCCGTCGGAGATTTTTGCCTTAGCGGTACACGTAGGGCCGGCTATGGTGCCCTCCAGCGTGCCACACTCACACCGCGGTATATCAGCCACCGCTGGCCCATGCCCTCTCAGTTCCTTCTTACCGCCCGGGGTAGTCAGTCGGAGCGCCTCTCTTGCGTGGCAAGAGCTAGCGGTTTCTTCCTTTGGACTTCGGGCCTTCGGGCCTTTGTTTGATTTTTGTTAGTATTAAGTAGTTGTTAAATTGCAATTGAATGCTTGGTCCTTCCTCTCTGCTAAGACGGAACAGGTCAGCTTGAGGCAGAGAAAGTCTGCCACAGCTGTAACCCTTGTATTTTGCTGTCAGTGCAGCAATAGAAGCAGTGAAAACATAGCAGTGCTGACTAATTTCATATAGCAAATGAGCGTTTTGTGTGATTTTATCTATTGCTAGCCTTCATTTGGTGTTGGTGTAGGCCTGGCTTGACATAAGTAACTTGCCTCATTTCTTAGTGGGCATAATTGAGAAGGTGAATGGAAGGTTAAGTTGTAAATAGGGGCTTGACAAACTGCATGTTGGAGTGAGGATGTCTGTGCTAGCTAAGATAAGCAGCAACACCTGGATGCTAGGGACTATGGGCAAGATAAACACAGAATGTAACATGTGAACAGCACATGGACAGAGCATGTTGTACAGGGATTGGTTCCTGCAAGTAAGCAAGCCAATCCAAAAATGTGTGGTGTAAAGAATTGCAAATGCAATTTGATGTGTAAATAGATATAAAGGAAGAGTTTGGTGTAACTTTGGATGTGTGGTACCCCCTATCCCCACCCCCTACGCTTGAGTCTGGTCAACTCAGCATAGCTTTGCGGTATGCCAAATAAAGGAACCTGAAGTGTTCTCCCAGAACTGGACAAGGGGTTCTGGAAATGGTGTCAGAGGGAATCCCAGCAGTTGCGTTATTATTTCTGTGGCTTCTAACACCAGAGAGAGCTCCCTTTGACCAGCATCATCATGTAAGTGCCGAGTGGCTTGGGTGTCCGAATGACCTTATGATAGCGGACCAGGTTTTGAATTCATTCTAAAGACTGCTTATTGGCTTCACTGGGGCTGTTCGTCTGAATAACTGCTCACCCATGGCAGTAAGTGCTTTCCAAATCTGGCTCAGGAAGAGAGCTTGCACTCTGAGGTGTTTACAGCCATAGAGAATATACCTTATTTTTTCAAAAATAACTTTAAAGTATGCATTAGCCCAAATTTGCTTATTATTAGAATTTCCTGTCCTTCCCTCACCTCCATCTGTTACTCACTGCTGACATTGGGCTTCCTGCTGTCTGCCGATGCCCATACAGACACAGAAGTTTAGTGGCAAGACTGCAGCACTCTTGTAAGCTGTGTTTGTACCTGAGCTCTGTCGGTGCCCAGGTTAAAGTAGGGCGGTGCTCTTCACAGGACATTTCCGCTCTTAGAGTACTCTCCTTCTATTACTATACAGTCGTAGTAAAGTTCAGCATTTATATAGTGCCTTCCATCTTCAGAGCTCTATAGAAACCTTCTTGCCTGTTTATCTTATAAATAGAAACTAGCTCTCCTGTAAGTTCTGTGCTTGAATTCTTATTTGAATATTTGTTTACCTAGATTTTTTTTTTCCTTTCTCCCTCACCAGTTCTTATCTCCACAGCACAGTCCATATACCTCCAGCTGCACTGGCCAAAGGAGTATCCTATGAGACTACCATGGATGCTGCAGGAGGGGGTATTGCATCATCTTTCCTAGAGATTGAAAGTGTGTCTCTTCTGTAATGCATTCATCTCCCATTTGCCTAGAAGACAGAAGGAGAGAGAATCCAGAATCTCTTTGTTACATCAATACTGCACTGCCCTTTACTGTATCTGCACACCCTACGCCAACGACTACATGAACAGTTGGCGTTTGAAATGGAAAGTGAGATACTCAGGCCTTCCTTGGTTTCTTCATTACTTTTAGCGCAGTTTAGGACTTTCACCAAGGTGTGTATGTCAGAAGAAACGTGCAAGGACATTTCCAAGCCTCTATGTACAGGTGAAAAGCTTTTAACCCTCCTAGAAATGTGGGTACCCAGTATAACAGCTGTCTTGGAGTATGTTGTTACTGTTAGTAATATATAGTTCAAATGAAAGAACAGAATTCTTTTAAGGCCAGACAGTATTCTGATACCCTCACAATGAGTAAACTTGACTCCACAAATGGTCCCGTTGATTTCAATGGGATTACTCAAAGAGCAAATTGCTCTTTGAAAATCAATTAGGTCCATAATCTGTTTTAGAATGTCAGAGAACACTAGCCCCTCCCCCCCAAGTTAAAACCAAAAAGCAGCTGTTGCATGACCAAATAGAAAGCTCAATCCATTAAAAGTAAGTGTAGCTTCAATAAAAAGTTTAAAAGTGTTATAGAGTTGAGTAATCACACTTAAATATGTGTTACCAAACAGATGTGTTCAGGAGGTATTAAGGATTACTGCAGTAAACTACAAAATACTACATGCACCTATATAACATTGACTTAAGTGCAGTGTGCTAATCAACTGTGCAGCATTAATGGTTTGTGATTTTTTTTTAATAAGGAGCTACATGTCTTCAATTGCAATTTATTTCATCTCTATACTTCTGTCATAATTTACAGTTGTGGAGAATCATGAAGATCACATGTTTAATGTAACATCTAGTTAATATAACCTGATATGGATAAAATCAGCCAATTTGTTGTGATGCATTCAGGATTAGTGAATTTTTCCTGTATAAGAAAGTTTCAAGTACTTTTGATTTTACTTCAGTTCCTGTTCAGAAGTCACTCCAGAATGATAGCAAAATCATGCTAACTAGTGAAATAAAAAGATCTTAATTTTTAGCCCTGTGTTGTCTTGTTTTTTCAAGTTATGATTGTTTTTGATGTATGTTTGCTTTCGTATTCTGTATCAGGGTGTACACAGTAATCTTTTTGTTTGTTTTCATGTGTTTCTGACCACTCTTTGAAGGGTGTTTTAGGTTTAGTCACACTATCTCTGTTTTTGGTTGTGCTGTTTTTAGCACTAAAAGAGGTTATTTTAAAATGTAAAGTATTACAGACTTCAGGAGTCTGTTGCTACTGGCTGAGGCAAACTGCAATTGAAAATGACAAGGGAACCTTTTTATTCTCAGCTTGTGGATACTGGTGCAGGTGTGGTGCGGATGTGGTGTGGATACTCCTGCGGGCATTCTGTGCCAAAAAATTAAAAATTTTGCACACAGTATTTTAACATTCAGCAAATTTTATTTTTCAAATAAAAGTGGAGGCTCCAGCATGGCATTGAGGAGCACAGGTCACTGGCTGCTCAGAGATGGAAGATCACTGTGCAGCTCCCCACAGGACACGGACTCAGCACCCAACCCTGACACAGCACAAGGACCGGACCTGCCCCAGAAACACCCCAGGGCCCTGCCACATGCACCAGGTGTGGGCAGGCAGGCTCAGCAAGGCAGGATCCAAGTGTGGAGGGTTTACTGTGGGGGGGATCCAGGTGTGGGGTCAGAGGGTTCTGTGTGGGGCACGCTGGGTGCAACAGTAATGGGACTCCGCAGGCAGATCCACGTGAAGGGGGGGGGAGCGGGGGGGGGGGGGGTAGTCTGGGTATGGGGGGATAAAGCTTGGCAGGGGTCTGGGTATGTGGGATTCATTGGGAGGTCCAGGTGCAGAGGGAGTGGGGCTCATTGGGAGGGAGTCCTAAGTGCATGGGGGATGAGGCTCAGTGGGAGGGTCTGGGTATGGGGGGGTCTAGATGCATGGGGGTTGGACGTATGGAGTAGTTCCCTGTACGGGGATCCCTCCCCTTGCAGCTAAGGAGCAATGGGTGCAGGAAGCAGGGGGAGGGGAGAGGGAGTTTGCAGAGCTTCCTGCAGCTGGGGGAGAAATCTGGGGGTGGGTCTGACCCAGTCCCGGATACTGTGCAGGAGAAGATGAAGTCCGGTCCTCCCCAGTCCAGCCAGACTAGCAGCTGAGCCCAGGGCAGGGTAGGCGCCATCAGCCAGGTCTTCCCCAGTCCTGCCCCCCTGTCCCACAGTGATTGACCTCTCTGACAGCTGCCCTGGGCACCCAAAACATATTGCTGGAGGGGGTCACATGATGGCTCTTGTGGCTTCCCTTTGCTTCCCAGTCAGAAAGTCATTTTTCTGTGGGGAAGCAAAGAAATCTGCAGGAGACATAAATTCTGCGCATGCGCAGTGGCACAGAATCCCCCCAGAAGTAAAAATTTTCAGATCAGTTCACACCTATCTAATGCAATAGCCATACTTCAATAGCACCTTTTTAACTGAAGATCTCAAAATATTTCAAAATCTGCCCTTATAATAACAAGTCTCCAACCATCAGCAGCTCAGTAAGAACTCCCTTACTGTGCCACTGATTGGGAGCTGGTAATTTGTTCCTTCACTAATTAAGAACAGAAGAGCTTAATTATTCTTGTTGCATTATTGTTACTTTATTTTGCATTTTGTTTAAATTTTAACTCGAACCCTAGACATCTTTTTTCCATTACTGAAGATAATTAAGAACAAAATGAATGAAAATATATGCTACATAAAGTATGTGCATAAATTCTGCCTTGTTTCACCCGGGTTCCAATCCTATGGGAGGTGCTGAGCAGCCTTTACTCATAGTGAAGTCAGTGGGAGTTCACGGCACAGCCTCGCACAGAATAGGATCCCAAAGGACCCACAGTGCACTGTGAAAGAAACTGTGCCTACTTCTGTTGAAGTGAACAGATAAATTAACATTGGCATCAATGATGCAGAATCGGGAACATAGAGGCAGTATGGTCCAGTGGATAGGGCACAGGACTAGGAAACAGGAGACCAGCCACTAGTCTCCTGTGTGACTTTGGGCAAGTCATGTCACCTCTCTGTGTCTATTTAAAGTTTAAACACTTTAAGGCAGGGACTGCCTCTGTTGTTTTTGAACAGTACATAGCACAATGGGGCCCTGATCTTGTTGGAGAGGCACTACTGTCATGCAAATGATAAATATTTATAATAGAGGAATAAACCAGTTTCTATAGGCTTGATCATGTAAGGTGCCGCACAGCCTGAAATCATTGTGACTTCTACTGGAGAAGTGGGAACATACTCAGCAACTCACAGGATTGGGGCCTATTTACTGCTGCGAATAACCAGAGCGCAACAAGGCTGGACACGTTCCATCCATAGAATGTCTGTTGAAAGAAGAAAAATCTCATGGTTTTTGCCCTTTTGTACGTATGGCCATCCAACATCTTGACAGATGAAAGGAAACACGACAAAGTCAGTCAATCAAGTCAGTCAATCAGTAGTGATTGACTGTAGTGTGAGAGATGAGCCCAATGCGCGAGCGGCAGACCTTCCCACAGTGGCTACAGGTCCACTTGCCAGATGGAGGTTGGAGCGCACACTGCTTCCTGGCTCACCTGCGGGCCTCAGCCTGGGCTCTCTGATAGCTCTTCATGATACTTGTACCAGCCTTCACCCAGCTTCTCCAGACTGACCAGTTGTGGGCAGAGTTCTCCCAGTTGTCAGTGGGAATGCTGAATTTCCTGAGACCTTGCTTGACCTTGTATCAGAGTTTTGGCCTTCCTCTGCATTGCGGGCAGTTCTTGAGATGGCCATAAAGCACAGCCTTCGTCAGAGGATCTTGAGGCATATGCTCTATGTGTCCCTGCCAGCGATGCCTGGGAGCATCCAGTGTAGCCTGCAGGCCAGTTCTCTCAAGGATCTTGTTGTTAGTGATCCATTGGTCCCAAGTGACTTCAAGGATTTTTCTGAGATAGCAAAGGTGGAAGCTGTTCAGTCCCCGCTCCTGCTTGGAGTTTCACAGCAGTACAGGAGGGTACTTAGGAGACAAGCCTGATAAACAGACACCTTTGTGTTCAGGGTTAGCAGCTTCTTGTTCCAGACACGTAAGGTAAGATGAAGAAGTTGGAAGGGAGCTTTTTAGCCACCTTTTCTATGGCCTTCCCCGAATTGGGGTAAGCAGGCCACCCCTAAATAGGGCTACTTGGACATCTGAGCCACTGCCGAACACCTGGGTCCTTCCCCACCAGGACGAGTGACCATCGAGCACAGACCTGCGACATGTACACTGAGGCAAAACAAAGAAGGAAGGGGTTGCCATAGGCCCTCCATGTTTTCTCTCAGTGGGGGGCTATAGAACTCCAACTGCAAGACAAAGGTCAAGGCCATTCGAATAGGCCCGCTGCAGCTTCTAGCTGGAACTCCACTCTGAGTTGAAGGAAGCACCCACCTTATCATGTCCACAACTGCGCCTTTTCAAGATGGATGTGGTCCCAATAGTGTGGCTCATCCGCTTTTCTGGGGACATTTCCTTCACCTAATGGGTTCCGCTACCCTGCCCTTGGGCGGCATTGGGGCTTCCCAAGGGGAGACAGGTTTATTGACTGGCACCTGTCCATGCATCCGGTGGCGAATCCCGAAGGGAATAGCCTCACATTACCCTTTTGTAGAAGTATGAGTAGGAGGGGTAAAATCAACTAGACACACTAAAATAATTTTCAGTCACTATGCAAAGGTTAAAACATTCATCAGATGGAAGCAATGTGCTCTTTAATTCAGCTTTGCAAAATTGGCATGAAAATTTCCTAGACCAAGTACAAAATCTACTCACCCACCTGTCTTTTACCATGAGGACAGATATTGAGAAAACTAATGTTGTTTTACTTGTATGCCAAAAAGAAATTACTGGGAGCCGGCAAGAATTTTATAAAGCTCCTTTAATGGATATAGAAACAGTTCTTCATTCCTGTAAATGCTCTCACCTCTGTTCTACTGAGCTTCACCTTAACTTGGGAGGTGTGCAGATAAATAGCATCAAAATTTAGCACTTGTCCTCTTTGGCGGATTTTCCATACATTCATTAATCCCTTCTGATTTTGGAGCCTTTCTTTTTCATGAACATT